CCCACAACCAACATTTGATTTTTATTTTAGTCATGGCAAGGCTCTAGGGATGGAAAGTTGGTTTGCCGGTCCACCTCTTTGGTTCAGTCTAAAATATTTAACTCTATAATACATTATCATTACATTGTGTACGACATTCACTCCCAGTAACTTTGATGATCCCCTGATGGCCAATGAGGTTGACAACTGTGGTTTTTAGTGACGTCCATAATTTACTCAAAATGTACTGCACTGCCTGTAGGGCTGGACAATAAAACGATAACAATAATTATTATAATAATATAATAATTATTTTTTCAATAACAATATAACAAATGTTCAATAAATATTCAATAAATGTTTGATTATATTCACTTAAAACGTACACGAATTAGGACTTGGAAAAAGAAGTGAAAAAAGCTTTTACTTCATTTTACTCACTCATATTTGTTAAAGATTTTATCATAATTGTTTTGAATGTTCCACCTCAGACTTGTGAAGTGATCCACTGTTTGGTCTCAAGTGTTGACCATGATGAAGAGTTTAAACCACAATTAAGATAAGATATTACTTTATTAATCCCCCGTAGGGGAAATTTAGGTCATCATAGCAGCACAAGGAATATAAAAGGTACAAATGCAGTATTGTAGATGTATTAACACACCATTTACACTATACAATCAATAATAATAATTTACAACCTGATAAATGTCTCAGATAAAATCAGGCACAAATCTGCCAGTTTTGTGCTGTGGTGTTAATTAACGATCAGGTTTCTTCAACTTTCATTCGGGAGCAAAAATCAGCCATTAAACTCGAATTAAATAAAGATTTGATACTTATCGTGATAATTAGCGATGTCGAAAGATATAAAACTTTTTATCGTGACAACATTTTTGGTCATATTGTCCAGCCCTAACTGTCTGTATGAAATTACGCTCACTGTGCATGCACTACAAAGGTATACTGGATGCTAGTTTCATGCACTGTATGCATGTACTGTATTTCACATCCATGATCATATTCTGGTTAATCTGTTGCACATGCCATTTTCTAATTTATATATTTTTTGTAATTTTTTTTATTTTGTCGTTCCGCAAAATACAACAAATGATGACCTCTTTTTCTTGCTGTCAGGAGGTCACCATCATGTTTTCTAATGTGCATTGCAGTATGTCTGCACGCAAGTCTGCAGCTGTCTGTGTCAGTACTTAAGTATGATCAAAGCTTTAGTCTACGTGATAAAAAATAGATGCTGAATTTAGAGATTTATGGCACTGGAGTACACAGTGCAGTCTGACCTCACTGAACAGTCTTTGTCTCACTAATTTGATTTCATGTTTGTTTTTATGTTGCACTTTATGCTGCAAAACCAATTGCCCTTCAGGGACAAATATCATTGAACTTGAAATGCGCATGTGTACTTACTGTCTACAATAAGTCGGCTTGCTACAGACAACAAATGAATCATCTTAACCCATGTTAAAAAGCTTTTAATAGCTAGGCTGGCTGTACCTACGTAAAGAAAAAAGGTCAAAGCCCACCTTCCTCATCTGTCAATGTCAAATGATTTGTCTTAGCTTCGCTGGAATCTGCACACTTGTACTCATTTACTTTGGTTGCTGGAGCTCACTGAAAACACACCCACATGCTCAGAGATGTTGTGAGGCTCTTTTCGCTCTCCTGCATCGTGACACCGCTCTAACAATGCAGTGGAGAGACACGTATATGAGAGAGCAGATGAAGAGGTGAGGGGAGGATGAGATGAACACTGCATCAAAGCTAATGGCTAATTAATTTGAAGTTGTGTTTCTTTCAGAACAGCCAACAACTGTTTCTGCCGTCTCTCAACCTCCTGAAGCCGTTCTTTAACCTCCACTTTCAGAGAAAAGCAGCCAAGATCTGTACAAGTGCATCACACATCACGCCTTGCCCACTCTCCCCCTCCTTACCTTTCTCCAGTCTAAAGGTTTACGCTGTAGTTTCAATTAACTGCTGGGAAAATGTTTCATCATCTCAGGGGCTGCCGCACTCACTGGCTCTTTAATTAAATGCGTCTTTTCACACTTCTTAATTACTTTTGTTACAGCCTTTTGTTTGCCTCTGTTCTGTGCGGCCTGAAAAATGCCAGTAACTCGACTTCTCTGCTGATGAACGTGCCTGCAACAGGTCGGACAAAATAATAATAAATTGGGGAAGACAAAGTGGCCACATAATGAACTAGAAGGATGAATCACAACAACTGGCAAGGCCAGTTTTTCCAGGCAGAAAAACACCTGACATTGGACTTTTACTTTGAAAAGAAAGGCAGGCAAATCTCTTATGTAAATAAACAATCCCTCATACATAAATGACAAAAAAAGTTTTCTCAGATCCTTCTAAAACTTAACTACTTGGTTAAGAGCTGCTTTCTGTTTATATGCTACGCTTAGCTAATTAAAGCTTTAGTCTGATTTTACTGTACCGCATATTTACTGTACAGACAACTCTTAGCAAGAAAGTGAATGTGTATTCCCAAAAATGTCATGCTTTTTCTTTAACAAGCTGCAGAAATGCCTGAAAAAGTGTCACATAGTTTTAGTGCTACATCATGTGAATTTTATAGCCTTAAAATTTACTTTGACATCTCGCTGGTCTTATCAGCTTTACTTCCGTCACAGCGGGCAGCTGTACGCTATACTGTTCAGCATCAAACGTCAGACAGATAAAGTAAGGCACTTGCTGGTGAACATAGGGGAGCATTTAGCAGCTAAAGAGAGAGAGCATTTTCTCAGGAGACATTGGTGACAAAACGTTTAGTATCAAACTGCATTTAAAACAGTTGGGAAACTTAAAAATACCCATCAGGCATGGCTGTTTTGTCTTTTTCTCTTGCAGTCTCTTTTTTCTTTTTCAGACACACACATCCACACACAAACAAAAGATTAATCATTGCCCACTGCCAGGTTCAGGCTGGTCCCGGCGTTGACCTCTCTGTCTGACATCAGATCAGGACCGGGATACACATGTAATCTCCCATATCTCCCTCACCCTTCTCCACCGAATGACAGCTGCTTCCTCTATGTCTCTCTGCAATCTCTCCACAGATGACATGGGGAGGTGGTGGTTTGTGGTGGTGGCGGAAGGGTGGAGCACAACACAACCCACACAAACATACATTTTCATAGACAAACAAACAACAAAGGACTTTTATGGTCTCACAGCCAACAGAACTGTCACCTCTAATGTTTCCCAAAGAGGAAGATGTTATAAATGTGCTTTAAAAGTCAGTGTGGGCTTAGCTCTAGTGATTAAGCTTATTACCCATGCACCTCACTGCTGTTGTTGGCCTGTGTGTTGAGCAAATATACGTCAAATATGATTTGTCTGTCTGCAAGCAAGAAAATGCCGAGCACTCTCACGAACACGAACCCACACACATTTCAACTGTATTTGACATTTAGGCCTATAATGATAATTGCTTTCTCTGGATTCAAAACTCCGAAGGGTGTTCGGAGCACATTGTGTAATGCGATCTCACCACAATTGTAACGACTACAGATCCACATTTGCAGCATGCCAGCTTGTCTTTTACCCATGAAAACCCAGTGAGTGGAATATATTAATAATCATCGTTGAAGCCCATCGTCTCTACTTTACTTTAGGAGTGATAAAAAAGGGCCAAAATCAGCTTAACTTGGAAAAGCACAGCAATTAATAGTTTAATGAGAGCCCACTTTGCCATGTTAATTCAGCTAATTAGCAGTCAAACAGGAAGTGGTATAGACTTTGAGTGCCTGCCACTATACATTGATGAAGGTGCTGATGTGTAAATACTACACAAGGGTGTGTAACATTGGCAGGCAAATTCCACAGACACCACTAGACAGCCGCTCACATGCACACCTTCCCACAGAGGAAAGTATTATACAAACTCACACACAAGCAAACACACATTCTATTACTGTCTAGATGCACTGATGTGTCCTGCATACTCATTTTCCTTTACAACTGTTACAAATGCCTGTCAGTGTCAAAATGCTCAAGCAAAGAGAGAATGAGTGCACGTACACATTATGATTGCTAGAACCAGTTAAACCGTCTGGGGGCAAAGCTGTACTCTTCAAAGCGCCGGGTGATGAGTTTGACAACCTACTTTTGTCATATAACTGATCAGCTGTTATAATACATTATTTATATACATGGTAGATAAGCAGGAAAGAGGACAGGAAAGGAGAGGAGACAATTACTATTCTATCCTGACTACGATAAGGTCAGCCATATAACAGCAGAGCAGTAAACAGCAAAACACCTTTTTCTACCCAGCTTTGTATGTTGCTGGCACAAGACCTACCCTGCAGGGCTGCAACGAACGATTATTTTCATTTTGAATTAAAGTGTTTTCTCGGTTAATCTATTAAATGTTTGCTCTATAAAATGTCACAAAATGGTAAAATAATGTCGATCAGTGTTTCCCAAAGCCCAAAATGACATCCTCAAATGTCTTGTTCTGTCCGCAACCCAAAGATATTCAGTTTACTGTCATAGAGGTATTTTCACTTACATAAAATAGAGAAAATCCTTACAATTAAAAATCAAGAACCAGAAAATAATGGGCATTTCTGCTTGAAAAATGACTCAAATGATTAATGGATTATCAAAACAGTAGCCTATTGTATGTCCATCATCTACTCACTCCAAGGCTCAGCAGTCACCAGTGAATTATAGCACAGTAAAATGCAACAGACAAAACTATTGATGTCCTTTAGCTACAAACTTAGGCTGCTTTTTTATTGCAAATTGCCAATTAACCATGCCAACAGTCGACCGTTACAGTGAAGGCACAAAACCATCAAACAAAGCTAAATGACCAGACCACCTCTTTCTCTGTCAAAGGCCTCAAACACTTCTGTTGACCAACACACCTCATCTGTCTCCAAGCAAACTAAACCTATGTGTCTTTTTCCTGCAGGATAACACCTAAATTGCTTTCCCCTGGGGTATTCTCACTCGGGAGTGAAAGTGTTGCAGAAGAGGCCTACCTTTTGACGGCTCTGCGCGCTTGGGCAGATCCAGCGTGTCGTAGTTTTTGTCATTCTCACCATTTTTTCTGCCTGGTTAGAGGAGAGAAGAGGGAAGAAAATGTCAGTGTCATGTCCTAAGACAAGTGGATTATAAAGGACAATGTTATCTACACCAGTATTAGACCGATATTGGTTTGGAAGGCTGACATTTTTAGACTAAAGCTGCGAGTAGTCAGCTGCATTATTTTCATGATGAAAGAGCCTCTCTGTCTCTGAAATGGCATATCGGTCTAATCCAGGTTTACACACCCACCCACAAAAAGCATGAATGTTTGCATGTAGACAGAGAGCTAGAAGCATGATATGTTAACACACATAAATTCCACCCTGCCTGCTGTTGGCTATAGAACACAAAGATGAATTGGCATACATACCAAAAATATGTACAAGCAGAAGACCACGCATGCAGATATTGCTGCATACACCTTAAAAACTTAAACTTCCCAACTGTAACTGAAGTACTTCCTTAGCAAGAAAACACCTTGAATAATGCAGTGGAAGAAGGGGCATGGAGTAGAGGGGTGTGGATGACTGCAGATCAGACAGCTAATGGCCATCTCGCATGCACATGGACATGCCCATGGGACAGTGCAGAGATACAGAGACAAAAAGGCTGATTCCTCAACTAGATGGAAGTGAAATTTCCGGTCACTGCAGTCCCTTTGGGAAACAATCTCACACATTTAAGTTGCCTAAATCAAAATCAAAAGAGCATAAAGTGTTTCCTTTTTCTTTAGCCAAAAGTTGGCTTGTCTTACCATCCATACCATGAGCTTAAAATTTTAATTATCCAGTCTGGGCAAATCAGCAATGCTTACAATATTAGTTGGCTAAACTGGGCTGTATTATATTACTATTATATTATTATATTACTAACCACTCCTGCTACTTTAATCTACAACCCACTCTATCAAGCTATGTGAGGGGATTAGAGAAGATGGATAGCAGCAACCGGCCCTGTTTGAAACAGGCTGTTGGTAGGATGGTAGCTTGCAGTCATGGCAGTGAAATTGTACCCCGCCACCCATTCAAAATACAAAACATTGCTCTCTGTCAATATCACTCTTGTGTTTTTGGGCTGCTGGCAAACATGTTGTTTGTATAATCTGTATTCAAACTGTGCTCTTGGTTTACTGTTTCCACCACTTCCAATCTTTATAGAAGGCAAGATTATTGACTTCTGGCTCCAGCAGAGTGGTTTTAATTTTCTTATCTAAGAGTAAAAGAGTAATTCCTAAAATGTCAAAATATTCCTTTTAGGACCTTTCCAACTAGTTAAGAACCATTTATTGGATTTAACAAAAACATCCACGTGTTTGCAGGGAAAACCCCAAATTGCGGCACTACATCTGGATATTTGCAGCTTCGGTGCAAATCTGTTTCAGTATCCATATCATTCAAAGCCTCTGCACACACATAAAGACATAGACTAACTGGGTCTGCAGCATAGCTTGACATTCATGCTTAAACACAACAGAACGAATCAGAGGTGAATAGTTAATAGCAGTTTGTAACAGCTGTTGGGATTAGTGTTATCTGGAGTCTAGAAGGATGTAAACTTCAATGCAATCATAGATTTTGGGGATAGACTTCAGGTTTTAATTTTCATTTTTGCATCTTTGACAGATTAGTCCAGCTCTATTTTACATCCTGACAGACACTGATGGACTTACCTGTTTCCCCAAGTGGTGCCTTTACCTTTCACCAATCTCAGAGTACCAACTAATTCTTACAAAGTGTGAAGACTGGGAGAAGTGGAGACTATAATACTGGGCAACGGTATGTAGGTAGGTGTGGTGAATGAATGCATGTGGAATGAGTGAAACTCACCAATTTTCTAAAGTCCTTCAAGGAACTTTTTTCAGGTTTTTGGAGGACACCCAAAACTACTTCTAACTATAATTCTACAGCCAGGGGGAAAGAGAAGGAAGAGAGTAGGGAGGATGGCGAGGGGGAGGAGGAGGAGGAGAGCTGAAGTGAGAAAGTTTGAAGGGGGGGCACTCACCTTGATTAAACCATTCCTCTATAGTTAGCCAAGGAAGCAGCAGCAATGCCAAAAAACACAAAGCAGGGAGAAGAGAGAGGCATGGTGAAAAAGACGTGTGTCAAGAAGCTGTGCAATAGATATGAGCAGTTTTCACAAAAAGAAGTCATCTCTTACTGAATAGGAAAGGTGAAAGAGTGAAGAATAAATAGAGCAACAAGGAGAGAGCAAAGACAGAGGAGGAAAGGAGTACTTTTGAGATAGAAAAGAGGCTAGATGGGAAGCCATTAGCAGTCCATAGGTGTTCTCTGGGAAGCAAGTTCAAAGAGTTGGTATCAGTGGGATGGCTTTTTAGACAGAAAGGGAGAGGGAGAGAGAAACAGTCAAATAGCCAGAGAAGTGGAAAGCACAGAAGGAAAATAGGAAAATATATGAAGATAAGCTAGCAAGCGGGAAAGAAAGAAAAGAATAAAAAACAAGAAAGGAAAAGACTGAGAAAGAAAAGAATCCGCTTCCACTGTCAGATAGGAGGGCAGCAGAGACAGTCACAGTTAAACATACACATAGAAACAGCACACGCTGCCAGCATTTGTATAAGTGCTTCATTAAAATCACTGCGTGGGAAGAACAGAAATGTGCTCAAAGAGATGGAAACAACAGGCAAGAATCAGACTGTTTATTAGCTAGAACAAAGCTCCAGATGCTTAGCGCGGGTTGATCATAATAGTATATTTTATATGGAACGTGACATTAAACTGTAGAGGAGGCCAAACTTAAGGTAACAAATTACCAAGCATACTGCCAGCAGTGTTTCTTACTATCTGCCTCCAAGCTCGTTTATAGCTGCATTTTAATGTTTCTGTACCGGAGCCTCGTGAAGAACACCTTCAGGGTGTGCAGCAGCTAAACACATCTCATTATTCAATGTGAATGTGTGTGTGTGTGTACATGAGAGTACTCATGTGGTTAATTGGTGTCTTTATGAATTTGTATACATGTAAGCTAACGTGTTGTCCTGACCCCTGAACCAAAGGATTCTCCAATAAGTCGTTAGAAGTCAAGGGTCACTGGCTGGTGGTCACGCCTCATTGGCTGACTGATTAATGGCAGCCATTACTGTTGTACAGCAGGGAGATAACAGTGTCGTTTAGCTAACAGCCTGGGAGGATGCTAATTAAGAGGTTGCTGCTAACAACATGCGTGTGTACAGGGCACATCTGTTAAGTTCAGTCAATAACGACAAAAAGCACCTGACGCGACAGGCGGGGTGCCATGATAGACGTCATTTGCTGAAGAGGTTGAACACAAATGTCTCATCATAGTCTTGTTTGGAAGCTAAGATGTTAATGTGACAGTAAATATACAGACTGCCTCATCCTTAATGTCTCCACACACTAAACACTAGTTTAAAAGCACGGTGCTGCGGCTTGTTCAAATGTAAAATCCAATGTGTTCCTGCTCTGCATTATTCTCCATTTGAAAGTGTTAATTTACATATCGCAGCATTTCAGAGAACTGATGGCCTTGCTTTGTTGTTTACCCGACTCTCTTTAGGTGTCCCTGTACGTGATGTCTTTACTTACTGTTTAATGTATTTTTATGAGCCTTTCAATCCCGTATACAAACCAAATGCCACCCAGGACAATAACGTTCAAATGGAGTTGTTAAATGTAATTGATAAAAAAAAAATACTGACAAATTGAAGAGAGTAAACAAGTAACATTTGTTTTCTGGCTCAGTCAGGACATGAGCAAACAGTTTTTAGCTCATTTATGTCAAATTTAACCCCTATTTTCATGAGAATGAGAGAGGAAGGGGATAATTGCATTTGGGACTTCCACAATATATAGACTATTTGCCCATTAGATGTGACAGATCACTTCACACTTTCTAAAATATATTTCTAAAATATTGTCATTGTCAAAAAGGATTTGTATGAGCTCAGCGCTCATCTCGAACCAACAATAAACGGAAATACAACAAAGAAGAGGAGGACAAGAAGGAAAGAATCGTATCTCTGCAATCCAGCTGTCAAAATTTCTGCTCTGCTCTTGGTTTATAATGTTTTTGTACAGCCAACAGATTTCATGAAAAAACTAATTAAAAGAAGGCAAAAGGTGAAAACAATAATTTGGACTATGAAAACATTGCATGCAGCTCCTACCAATCATTTAAGCAAAATATTATCCACTTATAAGGAACTCACATTAAGACAAACTTTTCTAATTAGTCCTAACTTACCTGTTACGCACTAAAAATCTTAATAATTTATAATTAAAATATTTATTGAAGTGGCAGAAATCTCATTTTGGCATTTACATTTATGATGAGTGTTAATCATGATTTTATTTTTGTCTCCCTCTTTCCCCTTTCTCACCTTTGGCCTTCTTGCCTCCGAAGCAGCCAGCGTCATCCTTTTTCTTCCTCTGTGGACCTGCTGAGCCAGGGGCCTGTAGCGCTGAGGGGTCCTGGAACTTTTCGGCCCCTGGCACCTCTTTGTGGACGTGGTAGGACAGGTTCCTCATAATACAAACACAGTTCTCCACAGACTAGAAGGAAAGACAGACATAGAGGTTATTATCTAAGTTCATCTATGTGGTACTACTGGACACACAACAGAGGCCCTGTCCTGTGCAGCTTTTTGTACCATTTGCAGTAGATAATACGTTTTTGTAGGTGAGTCAAGCGTTGTCCTACCTTGTTGTCCATGTCTTTCTTCCCTACAGCTGATTGGAGAGCGTGCAGCAGGGCGTCCACCAAGCCTTCACATTCCCTCAGTCTGCGCCGAGCCTCTGCCCCGTCTGAGCTCACATTTCTTGAGGGAAAAAACACAAATATTGTCAGTGACCATGAGAGAGTCATGTAGAAGAGCATCAGATAGATTACGAAATAACTAACTACACTGTTGTCGGGACATACATCTGCTCAGAACTGCAGAAACCTGCAGAAATAGGATTCACAATGCAGGTCTTCCGCAGCAGCGCCTTAAATTTTGCGCAGCCTTTCGCCAGCAGATGATGTGAATTTTAGAAAGATCTGTCACAGGTTTAATGATTTTTATTGATATTTTTAATTGTTTTGGACTGTTTTAAACACTTTTATCACATAAAGCCCTAAAAATAAGCAAGACAATTCTCTATTTACATGTACTACTGGTATTACTACTGCTTTCTTCAGAGTTGCAAGAAATGTTTGCAATCACAGAAAATATAGCTCAGTGAAATATCAGGAACAGGATATAAAATCCAACAAAACATAAAAAACATCAAGACAAAAATAAAAACATCTGAAGTGTATCGGTGCATCAAAAAGAGAAAAACCATAAAGGATTTGAGTTGTGCTTTAAAATTTTCTTTTGTTGTTTTTTTCTTATCAATATACAGCATTACTGTTATCTTAGTCATCAATGACTGGTAGGTGTATGAAAAAAGCCCAATATCAGCAAACCTATACTACCCAAAAATGTGATCTTTAAGGTTCCATGGCCTTTATCCTCCCTATCTGCCTCAAATGTATTAAAGCTCAATGGCTTTAGGAATATTCTTAAGAAATTATTCATATAATTACATTTTTCCACAAAGAAAAATGCCATCTATGTCATGTCAGCCAGTGCCCTGAGCGCAGCTCCTATAAACTCACAGTAGCAGAGCTGGTGCAGTCTTAGTGCAGCTGTCTGACTGACTATGAAAGGCAGGGCTTTAAAGAGGGTTAAGGGAAAGCTGGGGCTCCCCGCTCCTCACCAGGGACTTCATTTATGAGGGCTTCCAACCTACATAATCCCATTAGCCGACCTCCAGTTAGTCCTGTGGAAGAGTGGCAGCCTTGTGGAGGTAAGCAGAGCTTCTTTATAGTGCAGTGTGGACTGAAACACATGTCACATGCAACACCTCTACACATGTGGTTTTAACAAAAAATGTCAGCGGCATATTGCGCTGTACTTGAATTATATTCGATTATTTCTTCTCTGCTTACTAATTATTAACGTACAAATCACAATGGATATACATCTCTACATATTAACATACACGTTGAGTAGAACTCCATGCACACATAACCACATCACCTGACATACACCTTTACACACAGTATCTTTGCCATTTTTCTCTGGAGTGAAGACCCACAGAACCATCCTGCAGTTTGTGCTAATTAAAACTAATCTTTGGTAGAGACACGCCAGACAGCAACAGCCATCTGGACCCGCTCATAAACCAAACCCATCCGTCTTCAGCTGTCAGAAAATGGTCTCCACCTACCCTGTAAACAGATCCAAAGAGCAAACCACCTTGGATTTATTTGACAGAAGTGTGTTTCAGGGCATACAGACAGAAGAGTTTTATTGTCAGCTGTTTCATTTGCAGTTGTCTTTCAGGGAGCAGTTGTCTTGGTGGAAGGTTTATGGGCGGTGCATCTGTCAGTGAGGGAAGGTGCTGCTGTCACTGGACAGATTATCTGGTGGTGTAATATTTAGTTTTAGTTGGGGTTAAGGTCCAGAGGTGCTGATGATTACTGATCTATCTGGGAGTTTGCCTTCTGTTGTTGTGTTACTGCACTTTCTCTCCATGAAAGTAAGTAACTTTCTAATCCATGGATCTACTGGATTAATAAAATCCCTTATCACTATAGATCCACAAGACCTCAAAATACCAATCAGCCTAAGTGTTTATTGCTCTGTTGCACCTTAAACTATGACCTGCTAAACATCGCATTGTTATTGTGATCATGTTAGAATTAAGTTCAACGGTGTCTTGTAAATACTTGTACAATGTTTATTGCTTATTTCTGCTGTTTTAAAGGTGTAATTCAAATAAGTAGTGTTATAAAAATTTAATATTATATTAATATCTTCCTTTCAAAGCAGATACATTTTCTGCTTTACATGTATTTTGATTGTCAGAGAATACAATGACAAAATACCAAAATACAAGGATGCTGCAGTTCTAAGAGAAATACGAGCATTATTTTCAACCAAGTGATGAAATTTAAAAAATACAGTTAATTCTTGGAAGGTCATTTATTATTAATCAGAAAATAGCTAGCTCTGTGGAAAAAAAGAGTGTTCTGACATCATGGTTTTCAACATGGTGTGCTCTTGTCATTCCTTTTCTTCTCATCTCAATTATTTTTTAATGGCAGAAAGAAAAGCGGACACCACAAAGAATCAGCAGCATTTAAAAAAAGCCTCCCATTGTGAAAGTATTCAGGCCATCAAATTGTCCATGTATACCATATTGGTGACGTTTCCCAAATCAGGATAATTTTCCTTTTTCGGGTCTCATTATGTCCGGCCCACTGACGGCTGTGAGGCGTCACTGGGCTACAGGAGGCTAGAGGCTAAAGGAATAAGTAGGCGTGAATTCAGATGTCTGTCTGTGTCTGCTGGCAGCCTGTCACTGTGATCTGGATGTGTCTTTAGTGTGTCTGCTTTATCAGATGAAGTGTGGGTGTGAAGGTCACGCAGAGTCATGTGGCCATCAGAGGACAATAGAGCAGCTGGGACGAATAGACTGGAGTAGGACTGATGGAGATGGATGGAGACGTGGCTGACCTCTGCTATCATCCTGCAAGGTCAATGGCAAAACCGCAAGACCATATGTATATCCTGGGGTTGGTTACCCTTTAGGTTTCATTGATTCTGACTAAATGTCTGATTCAGGTTATGGATTCTGCCTCCTCTTATTTTATCCTTGTTAAAATTATTCTTGTTCATCAGAGTAAGAAAACAGCATTAGCATATGTTACATATGTCAGCAGATTTTGGCTGCTAGAAACTCATGGGCCTTGTTGGGAGGTAGGGGTGGCTAAAACATCATATCACGATTTATTTCAGGCAGGATCACGATTCACGATCTTATCACGATTAATTTTCATGTTGGTTTTTAAGACAGTTTTTGCAAGTTACTGGTTTACTGGTTTATTAAATCGTAAACAATGTAGCCTAATGATTCATTCAACAACAGAGAGCTGATTTATTTTGTTCTTACAACATTTTTTATTTGATTTTCTCATGAATGAATGTGCTGTTTACTTCTGCATGTTTAAAAACCCAAAGACAGGGAGGGACCTGCAGATACTGATTGGCGTTTACAGTAGCCAATAGTGCTGCATGTGCGTTTCGCACCCCCGACCCCGTCATGTAGACGGGTTCAGCTCTCACTGAGTGAACACTACGGCCGGACTGGGACCCAACCATAGACTGTATGTAAGAAGTGGACGTAGTCATGGTGTCGTCACCTGTTGGTTTGGCCATCATGTTGAGTTTTCACCAGACGTGACCATATTTGGACGAGACGGTAGAGCTAATGGCCGCTAGTTAGCTTGCTGAGCTAGGTGCATCTGTAATTCACGAGAACTGTTATTTTAACAGGACTGGAAATTTTGTCTAGTTCACTTTCACTGGTGAGAACATTTACTTTTAAGCCTGTTGTTTTTGGCTTAAAACTAAATGCACTCACCAGAGAAAGTGAACAGCCAACTCCTAATAAGCTTTTTCAACGGCGCTGTTTAAATTTACACAGTGCCAAGGGTACGAGTAGCCTCTTGCCTGATTGACAGGTCGCCGTGGTAACGACTTGTCGATCACAGATAATCCTGCCATGAAACATACTCTGCTTTGTGGTCTATTTTAAAATAAATGGAGCAATTAAGACCATAAACTCATTATGAAAGTGTTTAATGAGGTAATAAATCAGGTGAGAAGTAGGGTTATTTAATCATTATTTCCAAAACGGATTTCTTTTGCAGCCAGAGGCGTCGCCCCCTGCTGGCCGTTCAACAGAATGCAGGTTTAAGGGACTTCGCATTGGATTCACGTCTCGGACCGGAAGCTCCACAGCCTCCGAGACTGGCAGAGGCCAGTATAACAACAGGGAATACTGGACCGAGGTGGTGTTCTTGCACTTGGCAGCCCGGGGCTGATTCAGCTATGACAGCTAGCTGCCCGGCTGAAAAAGCTAACCTGCTATTTACAGACAGATAACAGTTAGTAACGTTAGCTGTTTGCGGTTCAGCAAAAAGTAGATGTATCTGTCCATCAACAAACTCTGTAAATCACCTCGGTACTGTATTCCCTGTTGGTCTCTGTGTTCGGTCCCGTTCATGCCGTGTTTACTGGAAGGCAGCTGAGCGCGTTGTCGTTGACCGCTTGATCGGACTCTGGTTCTTTTGCCCAATCCGGCACCGCTCGCTGACGTTATCCTGGCCTAAAAAACCTCTAGTGCTTGAGTAGAGGTGTAACGTTAAACACAATACACTCCCCATGTGCTCCCAGTCCAGGCTGAGACAGCTATGTCCACTAGGCTTACTGAACTAACTAGAAAATGGCAGCTAGTTAGGCGCCATGTTTATGACAGTCCATCCACCTCATGGTGGCACTATATGGATATTCAGCGGATCACCAAAGTCATTAGGATTCATCCTCTGGGAACCATGAAAGTCTGTGCCAATCAATCGGATAGATGTTAAACTTGGAAACTTTACCTGCTGGTTGCGCATCATCCTTATTATTCTTATTCATCCTCTGGGCACCCTGGATATATTTTACCAAACATTGACTTCCCAGAGCCACACTGCTAGTGAAGCTAAAAAGACCAACATGAACACACTTTATCTGGCCATGAATAAGTGAAGTGTTTGCTGTTAGACACTAACAGTATGTGATTCAGGGGCATTATGACCATTACTGGGGACATAAAACATTCTGCATTATCCCCAGCTGAAGGAAAAAAAATTTTTTTAATGTTTGACACTCACATTCAATTGTTTTTGCACATCGTTTAAAGAACCCTGAATCATTCTTTTCTTTTGTTAAAATGAACCTTACTATAAACACTATACATGCACATGGAGGATCCAGCAGCTGATTAGATAGCACTTTTATTGCCATTCCTGTAATGGGACCAGTTCTAATTCAGACCCAAATCTTGAAACCCAACCGTGGTGTACATGCCCACCCCCAACACCAGCAAAGACAACACACGCACACATTGCTTGCCCTTCGCTGAGCGCACAGCGTAAACACTGTAAATAAGTTGGCCCCTATCGACAGAGGAGGCCGTTACAATAAAACTATCCCAGGTTTTATTGAGGTGTAAGCTGCGTCTCTGTCGGTGTGAGTAAACAGATTCTCCCTGGCATCAGCACTTCTCCCCAGCGCACAAACCCTGTGGGCTTGGTCACAGTTACCATGGAAACGTATTCTCGTCAGCAGCGACTGCATCGAAGGTAGTGAGATTGAGGGGTAGATATTGTGGTATGTGGCATCAGGGACGAGGAGGTTTGGATATAGTGTTTGGGAAGAAGGTGAAAAACATACACAGAAAAAGAAAGTGCACCGGAGTATAACCGATAATGAAAGAAATCATGGGATAGACAATGAAACAGTCAGAGGCAGCGAGAGCAGGGTTCCCACCGCGACCCTGATGTAAAATTCCATGACTTTTCTATGACTTTCCTCAGCTGTATCAGAGCGCTTTCATTTATTCCCTCTTGGTTCGTTAATGCTGCTCTTCAACTCAGCAGAAAATGTTCTAAAATTTCAAGCAAGTTTCCACCCTTTCTACAGCCCAAGAAAACTAAGCTGGAAACGATCTAACGCGAATCAATAGCGCGTGAAATACATTCTGGTACTTTCTGTCTAAGCTGGATTTGGATGTTATATTGTTCTGGATGTCAACCAGCACGCCGCAGCGTCTACTCCAGGAGACGTTCTGTCCTGGATAGCAGTCTAGACGGGCTTGGCCGGCCCGGGAGGAGGCAACACAGCCAGGCGTGATAACCCATATACACACTCTCTGTCTTTCACAATTTACTACAGTCTGTCATTCTGAGCTGAAGCCAAAATGACAGATTCAGCATGGAAGGTGGAAGAGAGGAGATACTTGGAGAGGGGAAACTACATGGAAGTCAATAACAGGAATTCAGGATCGTTGCACTCAAGTTGCCCTCCTCACTTGATGACAGCATGTAAAAGACAGAGGCAGAGATGAAGTTTGACCAAGGTGGTGCACTTGATTATTACCTGACACTTATTCAATTTGAGTAATAGGTATTCAGCTGATGCTCTTTTCCACAAAACATGCTGCATCATTTCAAAAACAGGTTTTAGATAACTCTGCTGTAGAGCAGCAACAAACCATTATTATTTGTGTGTCGAACGATACGGGCATTTCAATGGCCGATGCCGAGAGTAATGAATGAAATAGAAACATACATTGGGTTATGCTGTAGATTTCAGAACGTCACTGGTATTTAAGGGAGACAGTTTGTCAGAAGTAACGTCATTCAGCTGCATTATTCTCAGTTGTATAACAATGTAATTTAACACTCGCCAGTAATGTTAGATTAGATCTGCTGCCATTTAGGATGGGAGAAACATGTTAACATTTAGAAAAGACGACGGTGACTGAGGACAAACTAACTTTTTCTCCACCTTCCCAAAACTCACAAGAACGAGTACTAACATCGTTCCACAGCAGCTCACTGACAAGGCTGCCTGCAGATGTGACTGCAGGCAGTATGTCTTTAGCCTCATGAGTGCAGGTATCGGTCATTACCTGATTAATTGGCAGAACGATTAATCACTAATTCGCTCTATCACTAATTATTATCGGTTATTTGCGTGATTAATCATTTGACAATAGAATGTCAAAAAACTGTGAAACATGCCCCTTACAATTTCCTCAAACCCAAGTTGAAACTCAGAAACTCACATTTCTTGTTTTGTCTGATACTGGCTTGAAAAATGACAGTTAAGTGTTTCTCTAAATAGTTGCAGAATTACTGAAGTTATTACATGAAGTTAATCGACTGATCAATTAAATAACTAACACCATTTTGGATGACTGACCTAAGAACAACTCAAGGCTCTGGTCGTTCCCGGTTCAGTGATGGGAAATGACTATAGCTTACATATAAGGGTTAAAGAGTTAATTACATTCTCGTTTGACAGTTCATGTTTTTATAACTACTACTAATACTAATGTTTGTTGCGATTAATCGCATAGTTATGCTTGTTTGGGTGGCTGATTTGCAGGCTGATCAACATCCCTCTTGTGACCCGCGGTTTGACTGGATGTGTCTTCAGAGCCAGTGAACAACGGACTTTCAAAATAATAATAATAAAAACTGCGTTAACGTGCAATAAAATACTTGTTGGCGTTAATGAATGCGTTAACGTGATAATAAAGCATTAACGTGCCCAGCCCTAAAAAAAAATACAAAAAATACTAACTAGTTGTTATGAGGCAAGGATTTGCACAGTGGGCTCAATTTATCTTCACTCAGCCTAACTTCATCTGTGTTATTATTATTTAATTAGCAAGTCTCAGCATGACCCCACATAAAACAAATAGAGAGACACTTCTATATTGTATAACTATTTCCCAAAATGCACTAGATAGACATTCTTCTTACACCATAACACACTGTTCAGAACCTGTATGTGGTCAAAAGTGAGGATAGAAGTTTGGAGTATGTCATAAAAAGTTTATGTTTTCCTAAAGTCACAGGCAAAAGTCAGCCAGCAATCCTACTGCAGGCAGACATCCAGCATACGTCACATACATACAGATACGAGCCGGGACAGAAAGAACACAGCGTCTGCCATATTATAAAATAATACAGAACCTTAAATCTGACCCTGGCTCAGCAAGAGCACGCATGTAATCTCACATATACCACACCTGTCTCCAGCTACAACTGGTATCTTACAAAAAACAAACTTTCAAGGTTTTGGGTGTGTGAAGGCTCCCCTCTATAAAATCCAAGATAATCACTAAAATATGTCTGCAAACCCGAACTGACTTTAACCAGAAAAAATCTGCTTTTCCACAAGTGTAACTAATGCCATTCAAGTATGTGTAGATATTCTTGTTTATAAAGATTTGCTTGCTTTTTCTTGGTGAAATTTCCAGACTTTTATAATAGGAAGACATTCATTTATCATTTCATTTTTGCTTATTGTCTTCAATCTATCAATTAATCAATTTGGCTGTAAAATATCAGAAAATAGTGAATTCCCCCGAGCCTAAGGTGAAATATTCAAATGTTTTGCTGTATCCAGTGATGAGTTCAAAACCCACTACTATCACACATGACAAAGAAAAATATCAAATCATCACATTTCAGAAGCCGAAACCAGCAAATGTTTTCTATTTCTGTTGAATTGAATTGAATCATTTCTGTGAAAAATCACAGAAATGATTAAGAGATTATCAAAGATGATGCTGCATAAATTTCTGCTTATCAACTAATCATTTGTTTCAGCTCTGATTCTTTGCTTCAGGTATTTTAACTTTAACATTTCAGTCCATTTTCCAGCAAGTTTGACTTTACAACAAAGTTTTTTCACTAATTTCTCCTGTTATTTCAGTATTTGGAACCAAGTTTAAGACGTTTATTCTAGAGTTTGACTATATTTTTTGATGAAGTTGCTATCTCCAAACCGCAATATGTCTGTATACATGAGAAAGGGGCAAAAACATAACTGCTTTACCATCCACAGCAGCTTGATTCAACACTTTTGGGCTAACCCTACCTGAGGCAGCCGGAGGTGTTCTTGAAGACGGTGGTCCACTCGGCGTCGCGGGGCTTTGAGTCCTCGTTTGGCTCGTGCTCCCACCCCGAGTGGGGAATAATGACCTCGTTGGTCAGGGTCTGCATGCCATGGTTGATGATCACCATCTTCAGCGGTTCATAGGACGACAGATTCCACAGGGTTCCTATAGGGAGCAGAATACAAGAAAAATTTATAGACATACGTGATAAGGAGGAAGAAACAGGTGATTTGGAAAGGAAATAGGGAGGATATAGGAGGAATGAGGAAGGAGGGATGAGGAAGAAAGAGAGATAGATAGAGGTAGTGACGGTATCAACATGCAATGTATAACTGTAAGTAGTTATATGTACAACATATAGTTTTATTATTCTCCCATGACGGCTTAGCTGACTACCTCTATGTTGTAATCAATATATTTATAGATTTCTAAAGGACTTGTGATATAACAGTAACCTTATGACACTTAATGTCATTTCTCAAGTACTGGCATAATATACCTTTTAGGGCCTTAATGCACATATATTGTGTAGATGCTGAGTGTGTATAGGATGGATGTGAATTAACTACTTTAGCAAAGGGCACACAGATGCTGTGTATCCATCACCTCCTCTATTTTCAATCCAAGCAGGAGAAAGAACATTTTATATTTACCTGCACATCTCTGTAACGGGCAGCGTAGTGTATACTTGTGCAAAAGAGGTAAAATAAATTGAGCTGGGTATGTGCATCTTGAGGTTTCACAAAAGAGAGACAGGCAGACAGGCAAAGCATAGAGGAGGACATTTTTGGCAGCATAGCCAGGCAGTCAAATCCACAAAAATAAAATGCTGTGTAAAAGCATGAGCATCAGATGGGTTTTCACTCAGACACATGGAAGCTCCAAAGCGAGGCAAACTGGGTTGAGGAGAACAAAAATGCTACACCAAAAAGAAAAACACTTTTAAGTGCATGTTTGACAGGGCCTGAGTTTCACTTCTTATTAACACATCCCCCAGGTCTCGCTCTGTCTTCGTCTCTCATCACTTATCACCCTCTTTCTGTTCTCCTTTTAAATTCAGGCATTTAGTTAGACATTCTCATCGGAGGTGACTTAAAACAAGTGCTGTAGAAAGTCTACACTACTGGCAAAAGTATGCCAAATTAGCTATTAGCTATTTGTAATTTGAGTACAAGGAACATGTTTTTTCGATGATTTCTAAGCAGACTTATGGACATTTGTTCATTTATCATCGGAAAGTGTAAGTCCTACTGAATCTAAAAATATGTGTATCAAGTATGAATGTTCAGACTTGATGTGAGTTATGATTCCAAGAAAAAGTACTTTGTTTTTAGGCAAATGGATATAAAGTACCATAAGTCACTACTGCTGCCAGTAACTGCTGCCTGTGTTGGTGAACGAGCAGGCAAAACTATAACTTACTTTCTGCTGTTATTAGGACACCAGCATGCTCCTCTCTCTTTCCCCTCACACAGTATCTTTGCCTTTCCTGCCACACATCCCCAGGGAGGGCCTCGCAGTTTGAAAACAACTGGTCCAACGGAACAACAACCATCAAGCCCATTAAGATTAAACACACCACACATTCAATCACGCACACAGACACAAAGACACTATGCAAATATAAAAACACTAACACACATGCACAGAGCCCCACAGTCGGAGATTCCCTCTCTTGCCCCACAATAACAGACCATTAGCAGAGCAGCAAAAGTGTCACACTTCCTCGCACTGTTCTTTAAAACGGTTTCTGTACATTTTCCAGACCGTCAATATTTCCTATGTTAAATCATGCTCTCTGCACACGGGGGGAAAAAGTCTCAGCAGACAGGCTAAAAATAAATCTGGTCCTTCTGTTGTGGTTGTGCCTGGAGAAAAGTGGTTTCCTTCCCAGAGAAATTGAAAAAAGAAATAATAACCTCCTTAGGCCAATCAGCATACTGTGTTCTTGTGCTATTTTAAGTTTTTATGCGGTTCCTGACCTTTGTCACTTCAGCCCCTCTACGTCACATCTCTATAGTAACCACATTATCATACCAAGAGGAAACACTGTACCTCCATTTCCTCTGTGATTACAGCTGGTGACTAGACTGGTGGCTTCCCGTGTGTCAGAGGCTACCAGGCTACCAGTATCTCACTGGGAATTACTGCTTACTGCTATTAGATGTGTAAGCTGAGGCGGGGCTCCCCTCTGGGCCACTTTCACACACAAATCCACGGTGTGATGCAGGATTTTGAACATACATATAATCATGTGAGCGTAACAGATGATGTCTATGGGGCGATAGTGAAGATTTAACATTTTAAACAGTGATTTTATCAAATTATTTTATTCCTAACAGATCCCAAAATGTCCCCTAAGCCCTAAACATTACATTGTTAATTGAAGGCTGATTTAATGCTGTGCTTTGTGTGTTCACAGTAAATTTCATACCTCTATAAATTTTAAATTGATTTATTTTACAAGCACTTTCATGCTACATTAAACTTGGATGAAAACAAGCTGAGATGCTATTCAAAATTATGGATGTTCTTCCAAAAGCATAACTGAAGCTCTCATTGAAGAAATTACACCAGTATTATTTACATGCTTGTTTTCTGCCTTTATTGTACATTGTGATCTAACACGGTTCAACCAAAGTTTCTGTGTGTAGGTGTTGAGTCAGTGGTGATTCAGCATTGCTTGTATTTTATTGTAGTTCAAGCTATAACTTAGTCAGCCTTCACGTGCCCCGGGATTTCCTGTTTACATGCTTTTGGTTGACAATAACAGAGTAGACTTACACGTTCAAACACACATGCACGCACACACACACACACGTCTACAACCCGAGGTCTGATTATTAATTTGTTCATATGTACTTCTACTCTAACAACAGTTTTCAACAACTCAGGTATCACAGAAACCTTCACATTCCATGTTGTCAGTAGCTCACAAGTGCTTCACTCATTAATTAAATAATTCTGGTAGCAGTTAAAGACATCATTAAACTTTGCATTAAAGATATTTGCATATATGCAGCAGCGAGAGAGCTACACTAAAGAGAATTATGAGTTGATTGCTAATGAATGACCCAACAGTGAACAGTGAAATCTAGACAGATAATTTCTATATAATTTGTGGTGATTACTCTTTTAAACTCTTATTTAACTTCTGGCACTCACTAAGTGTTGTTTTCAGTGAAACAGCTGCTCTTTTTCTGATGCATATTTTCTCCACTCTCTTTTTTAAAGGGTCAATTTTGTCATTTACTTCAACCACATGCATGAGAGCATATGAGAGCAAGTTTCAGCATCCAGACATAAATCACATAAACAGCAAATGTGCTCTTGTGTGGTGTGTGTACTCCGGTATGATGACAGCTAGCTAACATTCATGCCTGCCTGCCAGGCCGACAACTGTTGTGCAATTAGAATCTGCTTTAGTTGTGACAAGCAACATTCAACATGGAGCCATCACCGTGTGGCGGTTTCTTACACAACAGCTTCTGTAATTTTTTAATTGGGTGCTTGTCAGGGTTAATCTCACACAGAGGATGCACAGAACAGTCTTACGTCACACATACAACCTCAAAAGAATGACACATATTTAGGAAAATCTTACTCAAATACCACAAACAGAAATCAATTTTCGTTCCTATCAAGGAAAAATATTACCAGAAACATTTTAAACAGAAATACTCAGTCCTGGATATTCACAATCTGTTCTTTTCACAGTCCAACAACAACACGAGTCCAACAAGAGCTCGCTCTCAGACAGAAAAGTTGATCAAAGTAACTCAGTTCAAACACAAATAGTTCAAATCGAAAACCTCTAAATCTCTAAAAGAAATAGTGCTGATGATGCGAGGAACCACATGTCAATAGAGCTTCAGTCAGTTTGTTTGCCTGTCAGTCAGTGGCGGCTCAAGAAACATGCCCATGTTTAACATTTTGTTCAGTGCGTGGTGATGTCTGTGAGTTGATCTCATGCATGTGGCTGCAATGTTTTTAATCGGACCCGACCAGACAGATGATTGTCACAACACAAGGAGAAATGTGGGCTAAAGGAAGCAGTGAATAAAAATAAACTTCGAACAATGTTTGAAGTGTCTTTGTCATACACTGTATGGGAACGTCCTGCTATGAGATTATGGTTTGGGACGCCTCTAATTTACGCTGTGTACGCTATTGCTTCAACATCATCGTAAAACATGTTCAACAGCCCATATCCAACATGGATGGAAATGTATTTCTTATATAAAATGTAAAATATACGAGCAAAAAACAAACATCTCAGGTTTTTTTCACCTCAGTAAAGTGAAGAGAGAGATACCTGCGCCACAATCCAGAAAGTACCATCTCACCATCACTTCCAGGATTCCAGCTGAAAACCTGTGGAATCACTCAGCTCTACACTGACCACATATGCTAGGGGGGAGGAAAAAGCATGTCTTTGCCGTGGCTGTGATCCATCAAGTACGACAGGCATACAGCCCACAGACAAAATTTTATTTAAGATGACAGAGTGTTATGGAAGTGACGATCTCCATCCTGCGTCCTGCCACTGTTTCAGGCCACTGGCTCTATATCAGGTTGAGTCCATTTTGCTGTTCTCTGACAGCTTGTCAGAGGTGGGTGTGTTTGAGATGTTCCCCCTGGCCTGTCAAGCAGGTACCATTCACTTGTCTCCTTTGACACCTGAACTATCTATATTACTATCTGGAGTATGATTCGTTAGATTACATCAAAACCGGATTTTAAAAAGTATCATGAATAGATCATAAAATGGAGACTTTTGCAGTTAGTTTTAGGGATGCACCGAAATGAAAATTCTTGGCCGAAGCCGAAACCAAATGTAATGAAAAAATTTGCCCAGTACTGAACAAGTACATTCATATTTTTTCCATTTATTTTGTCATTTATTAAAATTAAATTAAATAGTCAAAATGTGCATTTTACTCAACGTTTCCCACAGGTTTGGAGGAGACTATGGTGGGTGGGTCTGAGGCCCGAGAGGGTCCGGTAAAGTAAATTACATGTGTCCATTTGCTTTTAATGGACACATGCAATATGTTTTATACTTTCTGTGAATGTAATCCAATTAATCTTATTTCCATACTGTATAGACACCTTATTTTGAAAACTGGACGTTGTCACATGTGTATCCTCGCGCTAAATTCATT